TTGTAGGTGTAATGAAATTGTGGGCACCTATTCAGAATAATGTGTATGAATGCATCAAAAATACATAGTATCCCAAACAAAACTGAAATTCACCTATAAAACTTTTTTAATAAATTGAGACGTGGCAATGGATGAAGTTCTTTGTTGGTACGTAGGTATTTTGGCTGTGAGTGCAAAGTTGTGAGAAGCATAACTGTTACTTCCCGAGATCTGCACAAACTAATGTGAGATGAAAATGTTTATAAGTTATACTGGTGACAAAGTCATAGGTGCTGTCATGCATTACCTTCATTTATAATGAAAGGAAGCAGTCAGTATTAATCGAAGGTTAGTGAAAATAAAGACAAATTTTCCCATTGGAATTTATAGAACCCACTGAATTCTACCCACAAATCCTAATAGTCCCCTATGTTAAAATCCTGTGCAACAAACTGATTTATAAAACAAGAAAGGCCCAAGCTCTGTTAGGGAGAGGTACATCCCTTGGCTTAGCCCAGACTGCATTTGGCCTAGGATGTTCCAGGCCCCCTGAATCCTTGTCACCTCCCACAATATGTGGAGGGGTCCCTCATGCCTCTGCGGTAGCTGTACTTGGTCCTAGAGTACACAAAACAGGAGCCTGAATGAGTGGCCTATAGCTGGAAAAGATGACAGGCAGCCCTGTCATTGAAAAAAACAGATCAGAGGACAGATCAAAAATCATTTCTGCCAGCTGCCAGTTGCCAACTAAGGTCCCCTCAGCTATAAAATCAGTGTACCCACCATAACCATGAAGCATTTTAAAACTGTCATGACTGAGACAAACTACCAGAGCTCTTCACTGTACCCCAAATAAACAGCACTGAGATGGGAAAAAGATCAAGCTGTCTGCCTTCTGGAGCTTTCTAACACTTGGACTGTCCCTGTGGGAATAAAATAACAGCTTTTTGCTAGCTGGGCATCATTCTCTTTTCTGACAGGGCAGCTGGAAGGAAAGGTTTGACCATCTTTCCATATTGTCTCTGGGCCTGCTCTAGACCCTTGAGACCTCGGCAAAAATATTTTTATACTAAGATGCTATTAAAGTGAATGGCAGATACTCTCTATTGATAAAAAGGTAAGCAATACAAATGAAAAATAGTAAGTGTGACTGTTACTGGACACCACCAGGAACATGGCATGCACCGTGTGTACCCTTTCCCACTAAACTGTTATCTCTTCCATGGCAGGGGAAGTTCACATTTCCCTGTACCTAAGTGTAGCAGACATAGGCATTGTTAATTCTTCCTGTGGAATTCACCATTCCCACACAACTCCAATGAACTTTAACTACAGCAGGATGGAAGTACCAGAGAACTAACACCCCCAAAGCAGTCAGCAGTGAGGGATGGCATGAGGGGAAAGACCACAGTTTCCCCATGCCTTGGGAGGCAATTCTGAGGCAAGCCCAACACTGTCTCTAGAGACTACATGGCCCTATGCTGGGACTCCATATTTTAGCACTCAACACAGTTCTCAGCTGGGTTAATATCAGATTAATACCTCCCTTTGCTTACTTTGGAGGCCCCAAAGAGCACCAATCCTGGGCAGTACATTTCTTGGTTGGGAAGTGCCAGGTAAATCACAGGTCTACCTAACACTCTAGATTGGCAAACCTTTCAAAAGTTTGACAAGGCAGTTTGCCACAGGGCCTTGTCTTGGGGCTGTGTATAAAGAAGGGAAGGCATGGGAACATCTCCTAGTTTCACTACTAGGAATAATAATAAAAAGTTCATAGGAACTGGCAGTATCGCTTACGGTTCAAGACCCTGGGTTCAATTCCCCGCACTTAAAAACAAAACAAAACAAAAAACAACTCATGAATCCAGGGTCCCCTCGGCCTGAGGTACATCATTGTACATGAGAATCTTTGTATCTTCCTCACAGGTTTGTTTGATTTTTTTTCTCCTGAGAATTAAAAGGGGCCCAGCCTATTTGTGATATGTTTTTGATGCCTATTGAACATGAATCTTTAATAAAGATGCACCAAAGCAGTCTTCTTGTTCTATTATGTGGTTTTTTTTTTTTTTTACATTGTATGTCAGGTTCCTTTTATTCAAGTCATTGCAATACTTGAACTGATTCATTCCCTCCCAGGGAGGAATTTCCCATCCCATCACTGTGAGAAATCTCCAGGGCCTCAAAAGAACACACTGTGAAATAATTGTAGGAGGGCAAGTTAATTAACCCCAACCAAGAAACATGGGGTGCCCTGAACTGCAAAGTGATAGTTGCTCTACAAAGTGTGTTTGGTATACAAATGAGCCAAAGGTGGCCTCTGTGTATTGGTTGTTTATTTCTTCACTGCAGGCTGAAACTCATTAGCTCAAAAGTCTGCTGGCGCCAAACTCAAATTTTTGCACAGCCAATTATTTTTTAATAAACAAATGTTCAGCCATTTAGAGCCTGCCTGCTTTGCATAACTCTTAAAAACCTCACCCAACAGCTTTTGCCATGGATAAGATAGGGCCTTGTTGTTATAAGGCTTCCAAGCCATTGCTGCCTCTAGAAGCAATTGGATGCAGGGACTTGACCACACACACCTCCCTCTGAATGATGTCATACTCTGAGACCTCTTCTCATACAATTCTGACCAATCCTCACTTAATAAAACTTCTGTGTTTCTGTCTCCAATCCTTCAAACCCTCTATATGATTCTGTGGACCAGCAGTAACACCTGGAACGTGGTCAGCAATGGAGAATGAAGTATGTTGGGCCCCACCCCAAGGCCTACTGAATTAGACTCTGCATATTAACACCACCACAGTTGTACACATTGCAACTTCAAATTCATGTGGACATTGCAAGTAGACATATGCTGGTCTGAGACCCTCATTTGGGGATCTGTGTGGTAGCCAAGAACAATGCACTTAAAGGGACTTGTGTGATAAAGATGTCAACCCCCATTTGAGCAGTTCTGAGCCTATGAGCATGTCTGCTAATCCACTTCACTGACCCTTTCTTGATTTTCTCATAGAGCTTATTAAGTAGGTAGCTATGAAAATTGCCAGATATAACCTCCTTACATAGAAAGATCTTCATGGCAAACCTTACGCTGTGCTGGACCATGGGCATAGGCATGTGTTTGCACACATAACCAAACACATGTACATACCCTATAGTTCATGTGCAGCTATATGACTAGACACATATCCCCACCCCCAAGCAGGCATGTTCCACTCACACATATACAAGCATTTGTAACACACTGGAAGTGCCCTGAGCTCCTGTTCTGGGAATGAGGTCCCAGTACTAGAACCTAAAAAGACACTCTAAAAGGAATCTTTCAGATTCCCTTAAATGGAATATAATGATCTCTTACAAAACACAATGGGAGGAGGGGCAGGTGCTAAAAGAAACAGATAGAAGAAGCCAGAAACAAAAGAAGGCACACCACATAAAGGCTAGAGTGATTCTGAAAGAGACCTGCCTCCTCTCAGGAGTGTCAAGACCTAAAAGCCTCAGGGCACCACACAGGAGAGAACATTCTCATTATTAGTCAGAAAAGCCTGGGAGAGACAAAAGCAAATGCTTACTAGATTGCATTTAGGAAATTAAACATGCTTAACAAACTCTCTTTGTCTACCCAGCAATCGTCCCCATCTAGAACCTTGAAATGGGTAAAAATTGCTTGTAAACAAAAGGTATCATTAATCCCATGCAATGAATTTGACTTGTTTTTAGCAAAGTAGTTCTGATCCTTATTTAGTATTCATTTACTCTTACTTTTTACAGATTTTTAAATATCCACGACCCTTAAGTCTTATAGGTAGCTATAAAATAATAGATTAGAAATAACCTAGAATGAGTGAGGGTTAGGTGTGGAGAGGAAACAGTAAGAGCAGAAAGTATAATACTGGTTAGTAATAAGAAGTAAAGAAATGCCTAATATAGCTGACCAACAAGGCCCAAAAGTCACTAATCACTATTTTAAAAGTACCCATTTGTGGTACAGATCCCGGGAGCTGATACTATACAATCCAAATGTTAATGATGAATTTGTGATCAACAATAACCATAATAAGTCAAATTATATTTAACATTTTCAGTTTAAGAAAGGCTGGTACATTTTACATATACTACTATAATCAAGTGGATGGATCTTTAAAACTGTTAAGGTCTTGACCCTCTAACCTTAGTTTTGATTCCTTAGAAAATACATTGAAGTGGGATAGCCCACCCTTCCATAAGAACAGCCAGGTACGGTATTGTTTTACTAAATAAATTACATTCTGACTTTCCTAGCATATAAGCATTTGGAAGTTTGTTAATTAAATCCATAGCTTCAGAATCTCAGTTTTAGCCAAAGATAACTGGACATCTGCAATGGTCAGGTACTATGTTAGGTGCTAACAACACAGAGATGAATAAGAACCAGGCCATTCTCTGAAAGACAATTTAAACTTGGAATTCTCAAATGCCTTCTGGTAATTACAGACTGGTGGTGGGTGCATTCTATTAGGTATAAATTGACTGAAAGTTACATCTTATGAAAGCAGGTCATACCTTGGAAAATGGTGGTAGGTGATATAGGAAGGGATTCCCCAATATTCTGAACATTTGAATAGTTGTATTCACCTGACAATCCCCAAACCCCTCAAAACACACACACACAAAGCAATTGGAATTTGTCTATGAGAAATAAACAGAATATAAATTGCCTTTAATAATCCCCCAGAAGAGAGTGAAGAAGAGGGAGAGAAATAGAGGAGAAAGGGAGAGAGGGAAGGAGAGAGAAAGACAGAGAGAGAGAGAGAGAGAATGATGTAATGAGGAAGAAGGAAGAAAGAAGAAAGCTGATACCTTCATCTTAGTGCCTGTTTAGTCTTTGAAAAATTGTCATAGAGGCAGTGTAATTTCAGCCTAGAGAAAATCCAAGTGGTAACATTCTTGGGACCCCAGCAGGTCTCAGGATGGAAGGTCTCCCATCCATCCTTAAAATCAGCCATTGAGTTTCCTTTTCTTGTCCTCTTCCGTCTTACCTTCACTGAAGACAAAATCTGAGATGATGTCAAAGGGTTGGATGTGAACGGCTGACAGGATCATGGTAACAGTCTTCTGTGGATCGCTGGAAGCCAGAGAAATGGTCTGCTGAGCCTGACACTCATAGGACTTCCCAGCTGGGGTGACCAAGGCAGAGAGGTGGTGCGAGTTGGCTGTGTGCTTCCCAGCTGCAGCAAAGGTCCAAAGCAGTGGTGAGGTCCTTGCTGACAGAATTCTCATTTCTCCGAAGCCAGCATCCCAAACCCAGTGGGTCTTTCTCCTCAGCTCACATTCCCCACCCCTCCTATCCTCTATGTCACCATCCCAATGCTACAGCTCCAAAATGGCGTCAAATGGTGATGAAGGAAAATAACATTCTTTCTGCACTGGGGTTCCTTAAATATTAATTTGGAATTTCTTTTTAGAAGAAGAAAGTGAAACCTAAAACACAAGTCTTTTTTACTCTATAAAACCTAGCAATGGAGATTCCAAAGACACAGAAGGAAGCATGACTTAGTTTTCCACATTTTCCACTAGCTCAGCAAAGAATAAAACATCTTTAACAAAGCATGCCTGTTCGCTGCTGCTCTGGGGTAGATGTACAAACCCCTTGGACATTTGCCCCCTTCTCTCCTTCCCAGGCTTCAGTTTGTTTTTTTCTCTTTTTATTTATTTATTTATTTTATTTTATTTTTGGTTTAACTTAACTTGGAAAATACTTGAATATAAATTTTAGTGAAGAGGAAAAAGCAATACTTTTACTGCTGCAATAAAAAGGGATGAAAGGGGAGAGAAGACACATGCATATTTTTATATCTTCAATAAGAAAAAATTATTTTCCAACTCAGGTGCCTGGGCAATGGACATAAAATATGGGTGAGACAATTTATTCTTAAAAATGAATTTGAATTTGGTCTTTGATAGTGTTTGTTAATAGGCACAGTATTATTCAGAGCATGGATATTTGTCTTGTAGGGCTATTTTTTGGAAGATGTGAGTTGTTGGAGGGGAGCATAGAAAAAGCTAATACAAAATGCCCTCTGAGGTGGCTGCAAAGGATGACTGGAGATATGGCTGCCATGCACAAAAAGCTGCTGAAGGCCATCCAATCCTGACTGAAAAAGAAAGCCACACTGTCCTCTTGCATTTTTAGCTCATGAAAAGAAAAACCATGGTTCAAAAGAAAACAAAAATACATACTCCCTCCAAGACCAAATCATGAGGCACTAAGAAGCAATCGCGGGACAACAGACAGATTTGCATGGATGTCTCATCTAGAATCAGGCCCTGGATGACTGACTGATCCTCACTGCAGGATTCCTTGAGCATCTACAAGGCTTGAGACCTAGAGGACTGGGCCCTCCTGTCTTCTCTGCCCAGGAGTGAAAGCAGGCCCAGGTTGGAGGTGACCTGGGAGCGCAAAGCCCAGATGGGTTTCTAAAACCCTGAGGAATTTGCCCTAGCCTGCACTCTCCACTGTGCCCTTGCTTTCCCAGTCTCCTTCCCCAGCCCTGTGGACTCTACTCACCACTGACTGCGTCTTTAAAGTGGGTCTTCTCAGAAGAGTCATAAACAAACTGCACCTTGCTCAGCCTCCAGGTCGCCTCGGGTCCCATGGAAGTGTTGTGGCTTTCCTGCCAAGAGGGAAACTCCTCCAGTGTCAACCGCTCCAGTGGCTACTCTGTTTGGAAACCCAGGGACCCCTACTGCCCACACCCACCTTCAATCTATGGCCCCTTTGTGGGCCTGGCTCACAGTTACCTTTACAAACAGCATTTTCAGTGCATATGCACGATCCACCCAGAACACCTGCAGCTCCGACTCGTTGTGACCACAGTGGCCCTTCACTTCAGCTCCCCGGGTCAATGAGATGTCAGCCTGTTCTGTGATCAGCTGGGAACACAGACGCCCCCCACCCACTCAACGCGGGGCCGAAGGGGAGTTGTAAAGGGCGGCGCGTCCAAACTCTAGATTGCAGGTTTGGGCGCTTGTTTGCGCGCGCGCTCCCACATCCATGAACATGCGGTTAGCTTCTCTACGTGCAGACCCCGCCAGTAGGGATGCAAAGAGCAGGATTTACTTTCAAAGCAGGCAGAACGAGCACAAGGCGTTACAAGCCGAACCCCATGCAGCATTCGGGAGCAGCCTGCAGGGGTGTTGGGTGGGGAGGGGGGCGGGAAAGGCAGGCGACCCAGTCTTCGCAAGGCTTTGAAGGAGGGTGTCCTTCCGACTCTGGAACCCGAGGAGCAAGCTGGGGGTGAGGGAAGGAGTTTCCTTACATCGACATAATTGCTGGCCCAAGCATCATAAGGTACAATAAATTTGGCTGCAAACTCTGCCATGAGACATGTTGTCCCATTTTCCCGCACCACAAATATATCTTTTTCAGGGTTAGTGGAAAGGCCTGAAAGATTTTCCACTTCTTGTTCTGCCATGATTCGAGCCACTGTATCTGCGGAACAAACAAAACAGTACTATCCCTTTAGGACTCAGCCAGAGCCCACGCGTCTAGGGAACTAGAGTGCAGATTGTGGTCTGCGGGCATTGGAGTGACAAAGTTCCCTGCTAGCAGCTGTGAGCTCTGCAAGCCATCTCTCTCACCCAGCGCTAACAAACTCAATTCAGTTGCTGTTTATTTATAATGATCCTAAAATTTAACTTTTTAAAATCCTTATTTATTTGCAACACTGATGTCCTGTTTTACATCCCAGAGGTTTAAAGCCAACTCTTTCTTGACAATGCTGTGATCGACCCCACGAAACCGGCCTGCCCAGCGCCCTGTCTGGGATATGCCACACAGGTGTGACTCTCAGAGAATTGTCTGCCAGCCGCGGGGAAATCCATGCGTCTCCCCTCCCCCCAAAAGAAAAGAAAATCCCGCAAAACATAAAGATCACATTTTTACTCTTAAGCTACTGACTTTAATATGCGATTCTATTATCTGCAAAGAGTGCATCGCGCCCTCCTGGTCGCCAAAACGCTACTCACAGAAAAACATCAGAAGCACTCGAAGTCTGTGGGCGCCGAGAATGGCTCTTCCTTGGAGATCCATGCTCTTAGTTGTCCCGAATGAGGCTAGATGTGCTGCTGCAGAGGCCGCTAGGAGAGGGAATCCCTCAAAGTCGTCGCTGGAGTGGGCCGGAGTGAGTGGAAGGGCGGGGGACCCGGAGACGGGAGGGAGGGAGCGCGTGTTCTGCCGGGTGCCGCACCGGCCGCTGCCGGCTGAGCCAGGCAGCCCACTGCAGAGGAGAGCACCGCGAGGCAAGGGAGTTGTCCACGGCTGGAAAGAATCAGGTTCTGTTATAGGAGTGGTTGACTTGGCTTCTGCAGAGGGCCAATGAGATTGGGGGGCTAAAATTCTTCCTGGGTCTGTTTTTGTTCTGCAATTGTATTCACAAAGATAAGTCTGTCCTGAGAAACTTAAGGGCAACAGACTTATTCAATCTCCCTAACAGGTACAGTTAGTGTGTGGTGCAAAGTGGAAACATCACATCACTGAAATCCTGAATTCCAAAATGGACTGGTTCCTGAAAGAAAGCCTTGGAGCACAAATTGTGTCTGCTTTGGTGGAGGAGGGGTAGGCAGGAATAGAGAAGGAAAAATGCTATGGCAACAGTTTCCTGCATTTGGAGACATCTTCTCTCCTCTGCTCTCAATGAGCTCATGAGTTTTGTTAAATTAACATCTCCTTCAACGGGGCCATCAGACAATGTAGTGTATCCACGTGAACTTATTTTTCCTGTGAGTTCTGCTACCTGGGTGCATGGGGACTCTGAACTTTGGGGTCATCTGCCCTCACTTATTATATTGTGATCATTCTGCCAAGAGGGATGTAATTGAACCTGAAGCTTATGGGGTTACCTGGGGTCTTTGAGGACAGGAATTTTAGAATCATATGCTAAGTAAGTTATGTCACATAGTTATGTAAGAAAAACACATGCTGATATTACTCTAAAGACTCTAGTGGAACAGAAAAACAAATATTACTGGGATAATTCCCGTATTTGCATTTTTGGTAGCTTGCTTATTTTTTATTCTCGCTCCATAAATCATAATACACCTCTTTCAGGAATAGTCATGCTGTCCTCATTAATTGTGATGAAGTCCAAATATTTCTTTTCTTAGAGGATATTTCATTATGTGAATAAATAATTGTTGCCTTGGTAATATAATGGCACAAGCAGTGTCATGCTAAAGGGCAATTACAAAATGTTTTCACCTGTGTCATCTTATTTGATCCTCCATGGGAATGTAGAAGATAGGTTATTGTGGTTACACATACATCCAAACCAAGGCTCAGAGAAATTAAATGACCTTCCCAAATGTCACATGTTCAGTTAGAATTAAAATAGAAAAATCACATGCCTTAAATTTGTGAGGATCCCTCTTCACTTATCCTTATGTAATACTTTGACTCCAAAACGTATTGTTTTTTGACTTCCAGAAAAATCTTTATTTGATGACCAAATGAACAAGCTGAAACTTGAAATTTTAGCCATAATTCACATTCTTAAAATTTATAAAATGCTGATTTAAGTATTATCATATTCTACATAGGATTTTCTTCAGGGTATCTACACATTTTTTGGCTTTCAAACACATTCTTGTATCAGCAATTCAAATTATGCAGTAATATTTAAGATGGCACTACATTTTTACATCTTTTATACCTGCATTTTGGTATTTCATCCAAAATATTCTCAAGAACTTTACATAAATCATTATATGTAGAAGAATGGAAATAAAATTGTGATTATTATCATTTGAGAGTGAAAGTTGTAAAATTTATATGCCTTACATTTTACCATGTTAGTAATGATTATGAATTATTTTCCTATAACAATGGAAAAATTATAAAGCAATGGCATAGAAGTAATGAAGCATTTACTCATATTCCCCCAGTCCCCCTTCCTTCTCTCTGCACAACTTCGACACAACTTTCACCAAGAAAGGAAAAGGTAAATTTCAGTCTAGGATTCATTTTTATTACTTTTGTGACCTTGCACAGCTTTTAGTTTTAGTGGTCTAAAATAATTAGGATAATTTTAGCTAGGGGATGGCTAGTTGGATCAAGTGAACCAATGAATATAAAAAGCATTCAAAATAAAATACAAATTAATGTGGCCATAAACATTAACTGAATATCAACTACTTGGATTATGCTTAGTGCTTTAGAAACCAAGAGATAAACAAATACCATTATGCAAGTAGGAAAGGTACCTGTAAAAGATCATTACAATCTTTTGTGATATATTTTTGCATATCACCTTATAAGTTGTTAAGAAATCCACTAAATTATCTCATGACTATGAGCTTTAATAAAAAAATTAAATGGATAGTAGTATTGTCATTGCTCTTAACATTTTGTACTTGACTTACAAATCAAACTGTGAATCCTTGGAACTATGATTTCCATTTCTTTTCATTCCTGATACTCTTTTTGATCTTTGTTGACAAAAGAGAGTATGCAAATGAATTGAAAAGAAAAATAGAGTGTTTTTAACCCTTTCTTCTTGGGCAAACCATCTTCAAAGCATAATTAATTCAATGTCTTTTTAGTGTTTAATCTTAAATATGGTTTCCACTTACAAATACCCATTAATTTATCCAGCTTATCACCAGTGATTCTTTTTTATAATAGGAAATGGATCATCAAACCTACAACTTTCACCTACATTAATTAAACAACTTTCTAATATCATGAAAAAAAATATTCTATTCCTTAAGATAACCAAAGATGTTATAAAAGAGAAAGATTACCAAAAATCATACTTTAAGATACTAATAAAGTTCCCCAGAATTTGATCCATTTCTCATTTCTCAGTTATGAAAAGGTAGGAGAAATTCCATAAATATGTACAGCTGTGTAGATGGTGGTTGTGTCAATTTTCATCATTGCTACTGGTGATCAATACAAAATTCAAAGATAAGTGTGATGCAAACACACTGGATTTGTGATCTCTTCTAGATCTTCTAGGTCCTTCAATGGATTCTCTTCAGTTCATGCATTTACTTATTATATTAGTCTTTATGAATGTCATGCCATTTGATGACAGCTATTTCATTCAAGTGGGGAAAGAAAAGGTCCCAACGTAGAACTTCCAGTGTGGATGGAAGGAAATAAAACATACATGAAGATGGGGGCACAGTCTGGCACAATGTGAGCATGGATGTTTAAGGGGAAAAGACATCCATCCCAGGAAAAGGGAGATTGGAACTGACAAAGAGGGACTCTGGGAGAACATGGGTCTTGAAAGAACTGACAAATTGACCTGAAGTGGAGAGACAAAGAAAGGCAATGAGGATGGGAGAAATGTTATTGAATGGGGAATTCTTCCATGTTATCAGTTTGCAATAAAAGAAAACAATTAGGCCACCAGAGCCCTAATGCTTTATATACTACATGATCTCTATGTGATTTCTTTTTTTGACAGTTTAACCTCCTATGGCATATGCAGAAGAATAGCTATTGCTGTAATTTCCTTTATCCTATTGGTCTTTCCCATATGTACAGACAAATAAGTAACTGTTCCAGTTAGTACCAAGTTAGTTAAATAGGGATTCAGTTGCCACTACCTTCAATGTGTAAGGTTTAGGCTATGGGACACAATCCACTCTGCTTCTTAAAAGCAAGGAAAACCTTGTTAAATTGGGGCTGGAGATGTTTCTGTAAAGTAGAATTAAAACTAGAGTCATATGAGGGGTGTTTTTTAAAGCAAATATTTTAAGATGTTTTCTCTACATGGAATAACTGCCATATGGGCCCTAAGGTTAGATAAGCTGAGCCTCATTTAAAATAGATTGCTACCTGAATTCTGAAATAATTCAGCCCCCAAAATTTTTTAATTATGCGTCCTGGGGGACCCTTGTTACTTTACTTTTTAAATTGTCTATCTGAAGTTATTTGTGTATTACTTGGAGATACATTGGGAACTAAGGAAAAATCATGCAATGGCCTTTGGGAGGGAGGGTGAGTGGAGCTGAGAGCCTATTGTCCTCTAGGGGAAGCAGAGTTGGCACAGCAGCTGGAGCCCTGAAGTGTTCCAGGTGTTCCATGTTGTAAGCTGGGACCTTTAATGATTATTTCTGTGAAAACTTTGTAAGATGCTCTAGTTACAAAGACAGTTGAAAGGTGGAAAAAATGTGTTAGAAGAGCAACAGAATTGAGAGTCTAAGAAGGGATATGTTAGATATGACTTCCTTTCACCAATAACAACAACATCTGGGAAGAATGGCTTCACATCTCCCGCCTTCACCACGCCTTTCCTAAGGAATGCCTCCTGGCCTCAATGTGTCATGTCTATGAAAGACCTTGGAAGGAAAGTGAACTGAGCAATTCCTGTAGGACAAAAAATTATTGGGAATTCCATAATGAAAACATAGTATCAGAACGTGTAGTAAGTGTGCACTGGTCAGGACACGTGTACTGTGTGTCTGTGGCATTACCTATGTAGGCCTGGTTGTTCAGTACTTGGGATCTTTAGGCTAGGATCTTCGCTCTGCACACACAATGGAAACTCCAGGCCTCACAGTTCCTGCCCATGGGAGGGGAGATGCGTGCTACTGCCTGGTAGCTTCTTGCTACCTGCACCGGCGCTACGAATTCCTCAGTCTGAGAAAGACACTGGAGCCTGGCACTGGGACTGGGCTCCCTAGTACACTTGCGCAGCCTCTCCAGGTGTAGAAGTGGAAGAGAAAACTCTTGCCAAGTTGCAAAGGTGAAGTCCACACCTGCTCCAACGCCAGGAGAGAGAGGTTAAGCCTGAGGGGCTGAAGTTGAGCAATTTCAAGCCATGGCGACAGGAACCTCTGAGTCTTGCGGAGAGGAGTTATGGCTAGAAAAAGGAAGAAAGTTCAGGGCAGGTATCATATTCTTGGCTCCTTTGCGACCGTGATTGGAAGTCTTACGCCCGGGAGTAAACGTGGCAAACCCTGAGCTAGACCTGAGAGAACTGGTGGCGAGATCTTGGAGCTTTCTGCCTGGGGCCTCTAAAATTCAGAAGATTGAGGAGGAGGGAAATATTAAGGGTTTATTAAAGAGGGGGAAATAGGAGATCCGGTTACGAAGCTTGGCCTCTCTCCTTTCTTTCCCCCAAACCCGGCAAGGATGCTCACCAAACAGCCAGCTCAGTATCCGCCTATACTCCACTTCCGGAAAATCCCCTAAAGTGACCAGCTGTCCAGCTCTAG